TTTTTTTTTTTTTTTTTTTTTTTTCTTTTTTGGATGGTCACGTTTGTGTTGACTTTTTGCAGAAGTATGCCATGGCAAGAAAAAAAGAGTTTGTGTAAAAAAGTGCCAAGTGTATTGCTCACCACAGTGGCTGTGTCATGTTGCGCTCCCTATATATCCCTGTGTGTTTTAGCAGTTTTGGTACTTTGACCGTGTCGCCGCTTTTTTCCTCCACGTCGCCGGACGGAATGCAGTATGTGCTTCTCACCGTGGACTGCCAATTAAATTTACAAATGAGGAGATGCCCCCCTGGGTGAAGCAAAAAAAGGGCCTGGCATAAGTTGACGTACGTGACGTACGTTACATAACTGTAGTGCTAATCTATACTGTTATATTTTTTTTTATTCTTTTTTCGAACATATGTAACCCTGTGTGTTCGTTAAGGGGTTAAAGCTTAATGCGAACAAACGTGGGACACAAACAAAGTGCTACATTAGGGAAAAATAAAATAAAATAAACGAATGCATATATATGTGTACCTTCCCATGGTGTTTTTTATGTAATGAGAAGGCATGCCTTTTGTACATGTGTACGCTTGTAGTGTAGAGAAGTGCGCATGCATTCTACCATTGAGTGAGAGACTGGGGTGACCGACCGCGTGCGAGATATAGAGCTGGGGAAACCGCGCCACATGTGAGAAAAGCTACCCTCCTCCTGTTAACTTCCACGTGGGCAAACTTTTGCTCCTCCTCATTTGCTCATTCACGTTTGTGTATTTAACACGTACGTTGTAGAACGCCCTTTTGCGGCATGCACGCTGCATACGCGCAGGGCACATTTGTGGCACTTTTTTTTGGAGTGAGACGTTTTATGGTACTTTGCTGGTGCGTTTTTGCTAAATATTTCCCACTTTTTTTGGAACGTTTTTTTTTTTTATTTTTAATGTAACACGTCAGTTGGAGGGTCAGCTGTTTTTAGAGAATCTGAACCTGCACATGGTAATAGTTTACGAGGAAGGGCAGAGGCGGTTCATTCTTACTTACTAGCGGTGTGCTTGTCTGGCGGAGCGGCAAATTGGTGGAAGAGCGCCTAGTTGCTTATATAACTGCGTACGCATGTAAATACACACATATACATAGGCGTATATATACTTGTGTGTATACCACACCCCTGCGGGCGCTAATATATAGAAGCCGTTTACCCTACACCAGCTTAGTAGCAACACCCGAGAGAGAGATCAAAATGAGGGTCAGACGCCTGCAGAGCTACCTAACAGAGCGCAACCTACTGAAAAAGAGTTCACTGGATGACATAAAGAATTTAACATTAGGGGTAGATGCCCTGTACTTTTTACGAACATGCAGTGATTTAAAAGATGTTCTAAGTGACGTATCGGGATGTATTTCCCCATGTATATTTCATCTGATGGATAAACAATGTGAGCATTTCAAGAGGTTAAATATGGATGTGATATTTGTGTTTGATGGGATTACGCCCAGGGCCCACAAACTTTTTTCAGCACCAGTGCACCAGAACATAGAACAAGGATGGCTGTACTATGTGAACAGGGAGAAGAAGCTAGCCAAAACGAATTTCGAAAAAGTATCCAACATGTGTAGTTCAGATATTGCTTTTATATTATTTCATTATTTAAAAAGTAAAGGATTCAAATGTATGTATGCTCCTTATCTAGCTATTTCACAGCTGTCCTATTTTTTACATGTGCATATGATAGATGTAGTTTTTGGTCCTCCAACAATTATCCTGCAGAATGTATCCAAGGTTATTATAAATTTTGAATGGAAGGAGAATTATTTTGAATGGGTGGACGTATTATTTTTACTCCATGTCTGGAACGTAACGAATGAGCAACTACTTGATGCATGTTTATTAGCAGGTACGGAATATTGTTTAACTTTCCCTTATTTAAATTTACCTTACTTTAACCATGGGAGGAATGAGTTCAGCTTTGAGACAGCCATCGAATTCATTCAACAGGCGTCACTTGTAAACTACCTAGAACAACTTCCGAATGATAAAATGGGGGCAAACCATATTCAAGGGTATTGTGTTTGTAAAGCGCTTTTGAAATTCCCCATCGTTTTGCTTTGCACTGGGGAGGTGGATTTTTTCTCCAACAGTGTTGATGTGAAAGGGGATGACTTGGAGGCAAATGGGACAGAGGGAAAAGACATGGTGGATGGGGGAGGTGAAGACCGCTCAACGGTGCGCGCGGTGGAAAATGCATGCAACGGGGACGTGCACAATGTCCACAATTCGCTTCGTGATGGTGGTGCCCCGTTGGAAGTGACGCGAAAAGTGGGGAAGGAACATAGCGGCTTATCTCCAACGCGCGGTGACCCAAGTGCATTAGGCGGAGCGGGCGACGCAAGCGAAAATGTGAGCATCGAGTATAAAGAGGGATGTACTGTGCGAAGTGGAGAAGAAAACAGTGCGCCGTTTAGTAAATCCTATAAGAATGGCGAAGCGGATAAGAAAAACATCGGATGTTTGGTTTATGGTAATGATCAAGTTCAGAGCAATGAATGTACTAACCCGAGCGATGGAGCGAATTGCCTTAATGAGGAAGACATGGCGGGGGAAGGCAATTTCAAGGGAAAAGAGAAAACAGAAAAAAAAATAAAAAGCTTCAATGCTGAAGGTGTAATACCGGAAAATTATTTAAAAGTGGTTGGAGCGAAGTTTCCGACGACCGTTTATTACTTAATGTCCATTGGACTTTTGAGTAAAAAGATTTTATGTGTCTTGGCTTTAGGAGAATGGATAGACTACACACACCCTATAATCGATTCGTATGAGTATAGGGATTCTCTGATAGACTTAAGAGAGTACCGGTGCCGGATGTTAGGACTCATTTCTGTGAAATTGAACCCTTTTTTTTACAAAAGGAAAATAAAATTTTTTGATTATGGGTACTATGTGAATAACATTTTGGACGGCAAGGACAACTTCACGTACCTGAATGTACACCTGGTGGATGGTTTTTTGTGGGACATCAATAAGGACAACGTGAGGGAAGAGTTAAAGAGACAGAACGTCAGGAAGGTTGACTTGCAGTTCATTTTGCGGTGGCACTTGTACGCGGAGAGTAGGAGCATATCGCTTGTGTGTGGCAGGGCTGAGCCGGACGGGGGGAGTATGCGCGATAGGAGTGTGGACAGCTCCAGGAGTGGAAGCAGCGATATTAATAGAAGCGGAGCGAATGGCTTCGTTACGGGAAGGGATTCTGAGCAGTTAGGGAGACCGACGGAAGAAGCGCCGCAGAGGTTAGGAGGGTACACAGGCGAGGAGAAGGATGAGGAAAATGCATCAAAACAGGGTGATGCGTCGGACGTGGAAAGTGCACCCGAGGGAGAGCCCCGCGCAGATAAAGTGACAGAGCATTACAACGACTACTACACAAAACTGCTCAAGGTGAGCAACCAGAACTTTGAAAGTATGCTCTCTCTGGTGTACTACATGTTTTTGGAAAATCTGGGCTTCTTCACAAAAAATTGTGGCGTCACTGTTTTTGGACTTCTACTTTCAAAAGTCAGAAATAAAGACATGGACAGCAACCTTTTTATTATATTTGAATTGTTGAAGTTTGGTTTTTTAACGACTGAGCCATTGGTACCTCCAAATGGAGAGTCCTACCCAGAGAATGCTTACGCGTCTGTCTTGAACTGTAATAATTTGAGTGAACAAGATAAAAAAAGTGTTACACTTTTGTCTCGCATATATTCATTATATAATGTGGACATCGATAAATGTAGAACGTATGATGGGTTGATTGACTTTGATCTGTGTGCCTTTTTTGCTGTTGTGAAAATAATTAAAAAAACTTTGAGACAGGTGCTTCAGGCTTGTGTGGCCAATGTACTTATAAGTAATATGGATTTAATTCACCTTTTGCCGGAGAATTTATTCAACCCTAATGAGAGCCATATTTCTGGTTTTTTCGTAACACACCACCTTATGGGTGTTTTAACGAAATATTTTTTGCTATTCAATTTTGACGACATAAGAAGGGGGGAAACGGGTTTCCCCGACGGTTCAGGGGCATCCACCAGTGAAGGAGAAACGACTACCTCTGATCGAGCACATGGGGCAGGTATCAAATGTGCAGGGGGAGTAGATGGAAAGATTAATGGTGAAATGAACGTGGGAGGTGTGGAACACAATAACTCGAAGAGTAACCACGTAAATCAAAACGAAAAGGTTAGCAAAACGGAGCACGCTGAACAAGGAAGCCTTCAAGCGTTGAAAAGTAATTGTTCGAGCACCGATGCGAATATGCCTAATGGGGGGGAAAAAACAAACGGTCCTATCAGTGTTAAGGATTGCATTGCACATAATAATAGTAATAACAAACCGAGTGAGGACCATATCTATGAGGCAGACAGCACTGTGGAAGATTTGTGCACTGATGAGGGGAAAGGGCTCATCGGTGGAGAGATTGAAGGAGAGAGAAGTGGACCAAATAATCACGACATAATAGAGGGGAAGGACGCACGCAGGAGCAGCAGGCAGGGAGATGGTAGCGACAGCTATGAATGTGAAGAGACGGAGAACGGAGAAAGGCGAAATGGCCATTACCCCAAGGGCCAAGATAATTCACAAAACAACTTTAACGAATTTGAAAAGGCGGTGAGGAAAAACTTCCCGAGCTTCTTAAACCCAATCATTGATTTATGTAATGCCATAAACACATGGAGGGATCACCTAAGTTTGATCACGCAGCTGGAGAAGCATACCAATGTGTACGACTTGGTTTCAGACCTGAAGGCGGCAGATCAGTTTTTGCAGAAAAAAATTCACTACATAGGATTGGACAGGACGACGGCGTACAGGAACATTTGCACTTCGAACAACGCGTAGTGGGGAGGCGGTGTTCTTTTTGCCCATGCGTATGATTCGTCTCTCTGTCGACATGTCCTTTTTTTTTTTTTTTTTTTTTTTTTCTATGTTATCCTGTGAACGCCCAGTGTGTGATGCCACATGTGTGCACCTCATTATGACTGACCCACACACACACATGAACACGTGCGGTGTAGCGTTAGAGGACCAATTTAAACGTAATTTAAGGGTGCATGGGTCAGCAGAAAGGTGAGATGATTGCGGGAGGGCGCGCCTGCCTGCATAAGTTCGACTTGGTTAAATGGGGCAACACCGAATGGGGAGTAGTAAGCGCCCGTTCAACCATGCCCTACTGAGCTGAACGGAGATCAGCCGCGCTAGGTCAGTTTTGCCCCTTCTCATCACGACCGTGTTAAACTTGCGTTGTGCGTCCCGAGGTCAGTTCCCAAATGAACTCCCCGAGTAAACACAAATCAAACTGCTCCCAAGTTGGACGGACATAATTAAACGAGCCATTTGTTTAAATTTTTTTTCGTCTCAAGCCAAATGCACGACAACGCGTAATGGCACTATTTAATTTAATTTTTTTTTTTATTTAACATTAATTAGACCTATTTTGGGAAAAAAAAAAAAAAAAAAAAAAA